ATTACAATCCGCCATCAAAATGATACATTTAATTATTCTGGCTGCTGTGAGAAAAGGCTATAAATGATCGGCCACCTGCAGGATCCTCACATGTGATAGCCTAGTATAGCCAGGACAACTTCTTTATGTTTACAGACGTGAGGTAATTACGCAGTGCCATGCTCGAATATCCCGCGAAAACCTACCCGTACCACTCAAATTAGAAAACATTATTATAAGCTAACCGTTGTGAATCGGGCTAAAGTAAGGACGAAAGTTTCAAACACTGGCTGGTTATGTACTTGCTCAAATATTGATTTCGGATAATTTTTAACCAAAAAAAGTTACGGACTGCAGCTTTAATTAAAAAAAAACCATAATAATGTCATAATGCAAAATATTCTTAACGTTACAAAAAAAATCTTAATTTTTTCATGTAATATCTTTTTAATATTTGCTTTTGATTTTTGGGATTAAATATGATTAAATATGGTCTTTAAAAAACACACAGGATGATATTTATAGTTTTCACATTATAAACAATATATATTTAGGTACAGCGTGTGCTTAATTAAAAAAAAACATTGACTGGAGACTGGAGTAATGATGCTGAAAATTCTGCTTTGAATTACAGAAATAAATTACATTTTACAATATATTCACATAGAAAACAGTTATTTTAAATTGTAATAATATTTCACATTATTACTGTTTTTACTGTATTTTTGATCAAATAAATGCAGCCTCTATGAGCAGAAGAGATGGTTCATGGTTGAAGATGCAAATTATGGTTTATGACGGTTACGGTTGTGACGTAAACTAAAGACTATTGATAATTTAAAAATAAAATAAAATAGACTTCTTTCAAAATCATTAAAATCTTACCGACCCCAAACATTTGAATGCTTGCCTATTTTCAAACATGTATCACGTATCCACACCTGTTAATCCCAGTAGAATGGTAACCACCACTTGTCCAGCAGTTGTGATGAGGTTACCGATGATCTCTTTGAGTTTTGTTGGCACTCCTGCTACTCTGCGCAGAATCTTCATCTTTATGCTCTCCTGCACCTCCTCCTCCTCCACCTCCTCTTCCTCATCCAGACCTGCTCTCTCCCCGTCCTCTTCCTCTGCCTCATCTTCTGCATCAAAGTCCTCGTCAAAGAGCATCTCGTCATCATCATCATCACCATTTTCCACTTTCTCGTCATTCTCCTCCTGTGTTTGATCACAGAACATAAGAATCATGCACATTTACTGTACGAATACGAACCCACATGACCTAAAACATTTGACAAAATGTGCAGAGTACAATGGATGAAAAAAAGTTGACAGCACAAAAATAGAACAAAAAAAATGCATAATTAAAAAAAAAAGTTAATAAATGTTAATGAACAAATAATATTAAGTAAAGTAAACAAACGGTTTTTCATGTTTCATGTTTTTCTGTTTACATTTTAATTTTAAAGTTTTAGTAATTTTGTTGTGTTTTTGTCATTTTTATTAGTTTATAATAATTTATATTTATATTATAATTTATATTAGTTTATTATTGTCTGTATAGTTTCTATACATATTATTTCAGGTTTAGTTTTAGTTATTTTAGTACATCAAATGAAACTAAATGAAAATGAGAAATGTTTCTTTCAACTAACTGAAAGACAGACAGACAGACAGACAGACAGACAGACAGACAGACAGATAGATAGATAGATAGACAGATAGATAGTATTTTATTTTAATAATACTAATCAATCAATAATAATAATAATCATCATAGTCATTACTATTAGCATTATTAGGTTAATAAATGAATAATTTATTTATTATTAATAATAAATAAATAAATAAACAAATAAATTATTAATATTAATAAAAAATATTTATTTAGTTAATTTATTAACTTTTATTAATTTATTATTTAAAATAAAATACAATTATTATAATTAAATGTTTTTTATTAAGTTCTGATAGCACAAATGGTAGAGCAGGTTTGGTTACTAGGGAAATTTTAATTACTGTACTTAAGTCAATAAATAAATAAAGTACTTTTTAACTTGAAATAAAATGGATATAAAAATACAATTGACAGTACAAAAAAAAACATTTCAAAAATGCATAATTTTTTAAATGTTTATCATTGCATGCTATTCATATGCTAATATACTAGATCAAATATTAGGCAGTAAAGAGTATATACTACACAGTCCACAGTACACTAGTCCATTTTATGGACATTGTCTGTTTAAGTGTTGTTTAATCTGGTTTAGATTAACTCTGATCTCACACACAAACAATACGGCCATCTAGCTTTATTGGCTCCATATGTATGGCCTTCAGCAGAGGAAACTACTTCCTGTTCACAGTAGCACATAAACACCAGTAAACGTTTAGCTACAGCATGAGGCAATTCTTTACACCTCTAGTAAGTCTCTTATTAACATTAACTTTATTAATATATTCTAGTATTACAGCTCATCACGCTTTAAACAAAATACAGTCAACATGACAAAAAAAAGACGTTTTGTGATTAGTTTCAGTCTAATATATGACCCTGGACCACAAAACCAGTCATAAGGGTCAATTTTTCTAAATTGAGATTTATACATCATCTGAAAGCTGAATAAATATGGTTTCCATTGATGTATGGTTTGTTAGGATAGGACAATATTTGTTCGAGATACAACTATTTGAAAATCTGGAATCTGAGGGTGCAAAAAAATCTAAATATTGAGAAAATCTCCTTTAAAGTTGTCCAAATTAAGTTCTTAGCAATGCATATTACTAATCAAAAATTCAGTTTTGATATATTTACAGTAGGAAATTTACAAAATATCTTCATGGAACATGATCTTAACTTAATATCCTAATGATTTTTGGCATAAAAGAAAAATCAATAATTTTGACCCATACAATGTATTTTTGGCTATTGCTTCAAATATACCCCAGCGACTTAAGACTGCTTTTGTGCTCCAGGGTCACATATATATGCAAGTGTACAAAATAAACTTGTAGCAGATGTTCTGGGAACTTCTCTTCATCCTATAACATAGTAAACCTGTTTTGTAGGGCTTTATTTCTGGGAAAACAAAAAGTTGGAAAGCTGGTATTGGGGTGGGGTTCACAAAAATGTGACTATGACATTTCACATAGTAAAGTTCTTTAACAACACTTCTGCTGAGCTGACACTGCATGCAAACTTTCAGTCATTATTGTAGACATATAGATTTATTTTGTGATAATAAATGGCTGACTGTACATTATACTGTTTATTGCATTGCTACTTATCAAATATTAAATACTGATTTGAGTTGAACTTATTTTGTCGTGTTTGAAGAATGAAAGCATGGACTGATATGAAAGATATGTAACTATAGCACAGTAAGAAAACAATCATCTGGGACAAAAATCAATCATCCACTTTAGTGTTATTCTTCAAAAATATGTGACTACATAAAAATAAAATAAAATAAATGATTCAAATAATTCAAGAATTATTTCTAAGTTCTGGTAGCTTGACTGGTAGCGTTGGGTTTGTTTTCTAGGGAACAGACACTATTAAAAACAACAAAAGTTCTGGTAGCTCAACAGAAGAAGAAGTAGTAGAATTATTAGCAGTAGTAGTAGTATTAAAGGGGTCATATGATGCGATTTCAAGTTTTCCTTTCTCTTTGGAGTGTTACAAGCTCTTGGTGCATAAAGAAGATCTGTAAAGTTGCAAAGACTAAAGTCTCAAAACCAAAGAGATATTCTTTATAAAAGTTA